TCGCGCTACAGCCGCTCGAAGTCTCGCTCCCGCACCCGCTCCCGCTCCCGCTCGACTTCCAAGTCCAGATCTGCGCGGAGGTCCAAGTCCAAGTCTTCGTCGGTCTCCAGATCGCGCTCGCGCTCGCGGTCCCGGTCCCGGTCCCGGAGTCCTCCCCCCGTGTCCAAGAGGGAATCCAAGTCCAGGTCGCGATCCAAGAGCCCCCCCAAGTCTCCTGAGGAGGAAGGAGCGGTGTCCTCCTAAGAGAAAGGTAACGTCTGCGGGGAGCCGAGACACACGGCCCTAACGCGTACGTGGGGTTTGGAGTCGGTGCTTTGAGCCGTGTTGATAGGGAAGTGACTCCGCGTGAGGAGTGCTGCTCGGAGGCGACTCAGTTTGGGGAGTGACGCTGAAGAAGAGGGGTCTGCAGAGAGGATGTGTATGAAGCTTAGATAATAATGGCTGTTTCGTGAACTGTTTGAGACCTATTAATGAAAATGACTATTTCTTGCTGTTTTCATCCAACGTCTGCATTTTCCCCTTTAAAGCTGCGGTCTCCTGTTTGATAAAAGAATATTGGCCAGTATTGCAGATTTTAACTGATTTGGCTGATCCTCCAGGGACCAGTTTCTGTGGGCGTGTATTGGAGCAGGTTTGTCTTTAAATGTTAAAGATGCACTATCCTCTTAGCGAAAAACAATCAGTTCAACTATTGTTGTACTGACTGGGACTTCAGTATTCTAATGGATGTGGCAAACGAATTGCAATAAGAAGCAGTGAACTTTTGGAACCCCAAAAGAAAAGTTTACAGGTATTGCACTGGGTGGGGAAAGGATAGTGTGTCTTTAACTCTCAAATTGTTTGGTCCTATTTTTTAAAAAGGAAAGGGCCCTAAGTAGCTCAGATATTAAAGCATTAGTTACTCTCAATTGCCAAATGTTTCATTTGAAAACAGTTTAACTTAAGATATAGACTAATTCTGATTTCAAGTTGTTTTTGTTTGGATACAGCCCTTTTTTTTTTTCTTTTCTTTTTTTCTTCCTCCCCCTTGCCTTTCTTCACCTTGGTTATTTGGCCAAGAATACATAAATTCAAATTTGCACATACTGATGGTAGCCTTTCCTAATTGGGCCTTTAAAAAACTGATAAAGGCTGGGTGGAACATTACTGTACCCTACTCGTTTCACCAGAGCCTTAGTAAGTACATGCCTGAAACTGAAACCATGTGCACTTTCGTATCTTCGTTGTAATGGAAGGTAAACTGAACTTATTTCTTTTCAAATCTAGATGTGTCTGCAAGCAGCATAACAGAGGACTTGGGGGAAAAGGACCACATACTCAGTCCATCGAAGAAGAGTCCTTGGAACAAGCAACTGGCTATTGAAAAGGTTATTTTGTAACATTTGTCTAACTTTTTACTTGTTTTAAGCTTTGCCTCAGTCGGCAGACTTCATTTTATGTGCCATTTTGTTGCTGTTATTCAAATTTCTTGTAATTTAGTGAGGTGAACGACTTCAGATTTCATTATTGGATTTGGATATTTGAGGTAAAACTTCATTTTTGTTTATATAGTGCTGACCTTTTTTGTTTGAAATTAAACAGATTGGTAACCTAATTTGTGGCCTCCTGACTTTTAAGGAAACGTGTGCAGCCATTACACACAGCCTAAAGCTGTCGAGATTGACTCAACATTGCCTTCATTCCTTAAAATTAAAAACCTACAAAAGTTGGTGTAAATTTGTTTGTATATGTTATTTACCTTCAGATCTAAATGGTAATCTGAACCCAAATTTGTATAAAGACTTTTCAGGTGAAAAGACTTGATTTTTTGAAAGGATTGTTTATCAAACACAATTCTAATCTCTTCTCTTATGTATTTTTGTGCACTAGGCGCAGTTGTGTAGCAGTTGAGTAATGCTGGTTAGCTGTTAAGGTGGCGTGTTGCAGTGCAGAGTGCTTGGCTGTTTCCTGTTTTCTCCTGATTGCTCCTGTGTAAAGATGCCTTGTCGTGCAGAAACAAATGGCTGTCCAGTTTATTAACATGCCTGACAACTGCACTTCCAGTCACCCGGGCCTTGCATATAAATAACGGAGCATACAGTGAGCACATCTAGCTGATGATAAATACACCTTTTTTTCCTCTACCCCCCAAAATGGTAAATCTGATCATATCTACATGTATGAACTTAAAATATGGAAAATGTTAAGGAAGCAAATGGTTTGTAACTTTGTAAGTACTTATAACATGGTGTATCTTTTTGCTTATGAATATTCTGTACCATAACCATTGTTTCTGTAGTTTAATTAAAACATTTTCTTGGTGTTAGCTTTTCTCAGAATATGTCTTGGTCTTTTTTCCCCCGTTTACTTAAAAGACCTATGCAATTATTTTGTGAATGTTACTGTATAGTGTGGAAGTGAAGTGCTGAGTACTTGACTTTTCCCAAATTAAAAAGAAGTGAGAGTGTCAGTTGAGCACCTAAAATCAATGCTTTTAAGGTAGCACTTTCCGGAGGTTGTGAGTATCCCCTTTACAACTTAACTTATGTCCTATTTTAATAACAAAGGAACAATCAGAGTCCTTTTTCTTCATAAGTGTTTTAATTTTTGTTCTCATAGTTAATTTACCCATCAGTGCTGTCCAGGTGGCAACACAAAGTATAAAGCCAATAGAATTGGCCATCTTCAAATCCACTGTATTTTCTCAAGCTGAAGTGGTTTGAGCCTAGTTTTATGTGCCAGGTTGCTAATTGGTATTGACATTGTCCCAGACCAGCTTGTAGGTGTAATTCAGAGACTGTCCTTTGCAAAGGAGATGACCAGCATTTCAACAGTATGTCTTCCTGGAAGGGCAGATTCTGCTATATCTTCCTTGTTTGCATCAAAAGACTCCAGAGGAATATGGACACATTTCATATCCCACTTGTAGAGCAAAGCTTCAACTGACCAGTCAGCACTTGAAAAAATAAATTGTTTTTTAAAACCATGGCTTCTGTTTTGCTTCAGATGTATTTTAACAAATTAGGTATTTTGTCGGTAGAAGGTATAGTATAGTAAGGCATAAACCAGGATTATTTATACTCACCTTCTAACCTGGTAAGTGGACCACAATTGGACCTTGGGGTTCTTCTGCATCAAAAAGTATACTGTAGTTAAGATGTCTTCAAAGTCTGAGGAAAGAGAGGACTTGTGAACAGGCTCATCTACAGTGTATCTACGGCCAAGTTTTCTATTGAGCCAAAGAAGTTTACCTTCTGGTTCAAAGAACACATCAGATGCAAGGATAATATCTTGGGGTGGTAGAGCCAGAAGGTCCCGAGATACGTGACCCCACGTTAATCCTACAATGTGTACTTGTGGCAGATCATTCATTAGACAGCTTTGCCGACAGACTTCTAGGCAGTGAGGCAGTTCTGAGCTATCTGACAATATTACTTCTGCACCGCATTTTGCAGCTAAAATTCCTGGAAGGCTCACTCCAGCTCCAATCTGGTAACAAAAGGTGGCATTTCAGAAATATGCGTGGACCTGCAAAGAACCTCGGAGTCTTAGCAGGTAGTTTCACATTTCATCCTTGCTTTTTTCCAAGCAGAGTCAATCTTACATTCTTAGGCCTGTCAGGGCTTGTCAGATCTATAAGATGTGTACCATAATCAAACAAGAAGCTTAGGGTTTCAATTTCTAATGTCAAAATTGAAATCCTTTTGATTCCTTTAATTACGAGCCAAAGGATTAAAGCTTGTTATACCAGTTACGTTTTTCAACATTAAAGGGCCTGGTATTTTGCAACTGACCTTAATGTGTTGCTTCAAAGTTCAAAATGTGTATCAGGCAGTTTTACTGCTATGCACAGGGAAGTAGTCTGAGGACACTTGCCTCATGATTTTCAGATCTCTATTTGTATGATCTACAGTAAGCTCTTCTGTAGCTGAAACCTAACAAGTCTGCAAAATGACTTTAATAAAAATGTTTCAATTGGCCCATGAAGATGTCAAGACATAACATTCTAAAAACACTGAGGAATGCCTTCATAGGTACTAACATAAGCTTTCCGGTGTATATAGACACCTAATAATTATGACTACAGGTGAGAAGTGTGCCAAATCCTACCCTTTTTGTTGACATGTTTGCAAAAGTTAAGGAAGATAATTATATCCTTAAGCTTCTGGTTTGTCTATTTAGCCCTTGGGCTTAAGTATAGTGTAAAAGTCTACCATTTTTGCAAATGATAATAAAATTTAATTCTGCAACCCTTCAGCACTCTCAAGCCAAGTGGAGAAGTGAGAAGGCGAATGGGATTTTTTTTTTTTTTGCACCCTTTTTGCTTTGATGTGCACCATAATTCTATCCATAGCCTCTATTTTTTTTGAAGTCAGTCTCACTCTCATCCAGGCTGAGTGCAGTAGCACACTCACGAGCTCAAGCCATCCTTCTGTCTCAGCCTTCCACGTAGCTGGAATCACACACATGTATACCACCATGTCCAGCTGATGTTTTGATTTATTGTAGAGGTCTTCCCATGTTGCTCAGGCTGGTCTTGAACCCCTGAGCTCAGGGAATCCTCTCACCTCCATCTCAAAGTGCTGGGATTACAGGTGTGAGCCACCACGCCCAGCTAAAATGGGATCATTTTTAAACTAATCTCAGCATTCCCCAAAATGAAGGCCTATGCTATGGTCTGAATGTGTCCACCCAAAATCCATGCTGAAAACCTAATCAATGTGATGTGGCTTTTGGAAGGTGATTAGAGCATGAGGTCAGAGCTGCCATTAATGAGAGTGCTCATAAAAAGAGGCTCTGGAGACAGAGATGCCTTGCTTCTTCCCACCATTTGAGAACACAGAAGACTTATGAACCAGAACTCTGGTCCTCACTAGACACAGAACATGCCAACACCTTGATCTTGGGACTTTAGAGCCTCCAGAACTTGGAAACTTGTTTATAAACCACCCCTAGCTTACAGTATTTTGTTACAGCAGCCTAACTGAACAGCCAAGGTAGTTATTAGAGTACAGCCTGCATGACACTGCTGGCATACCGAAACATGGTCTTAAAGATTGCTGCCAATGCCAAGAAAGTCCAGGGGGCTTCATTTAGAACATGGGTCAGCAAGTTGTAAAGGGTTAGAGAATAAGTATCTGTCCAAAATTTATTTTTTTAAACTTTAAAAATATTTTTAAAAACATTAGGATAATCTCTGTACCTTTTAAAAAAGTTTAAAATGTTAGCTCACAGACCTTACAAACTAGCCAAACTATTCCTGATTCAAAAATATTTAACAAAAGCTAAAATGCATGTAGGCTTAACAAATTTGAACATAACCCAGGATTCTGGAAACCTCAGGGGTACTTGTACCTCTAAGACAGCCTTGCCTGGCAGAGATCTTCTGTGAAACCACAGGTACTGGGCCAGTACCACAGCACAGGGCCAAACATACATTCCATATTGGAGATGCAGGACCTGAAAAGAATTTTTTGGTATGCCATAAATAACATTACCTGCTGGAAATTTGAATATGTATTCATTCAGTAATTAATGTCAGGCACTGACATCCATTACAAAAAAATGACAGTCTTATGCTCCACAACCTTCGGGGACATGAAACTGTAACGCCATATGTTAAGTACTCTTAACAGCATTCATTCATTCAGCAACCATTTATGTAGAGCCTGAATATCACCAACCATTTTTTTTTTTTTTTTTTGAGTCGGAGTCTCACTCTGTCGCCCAGGCTAAAGCGCAGTGGCATGCTCATGGCCACAGCAGCCTCGACCTACTGGGCTCAGGTGATCCTTCCACCTCAGCCTTCCAAGTAGCTGGAAGCACAGGCATATGTAACCACACCCAGCTAACTTTTTGATTTATTGTAGAGACAAGGTCTTGCCATGTTGCTCAGGCAATCCTCTCGCCTCCGCCTCCCAGAGTACTAGGATTACAGGCTTGAGCCATTGCTCCCAGCTCACCAACCGTTCTTAGGGGGTGTAGCTCTCATGGAGCATATATCCTACTGTAAAGAGACAGGCAACAAGTAAGCAAATAAAGTATTTTTAGTTAGTGACGAATGCTACAAAGACAGTAAAACGGGATGATGTGAGAACATAATGGGGGCACAGTGACCACAAGGTGGCTGGTCTAGATGTGGAGAAAGGATGATTCACACAGAGGCCCTGAACTGAAAAGGCCTCAGTGGTTGACCAGAAAGCCTGAGAGGTGGAGTTTGGGGGAAGGACAGACAAGCCATGGGCCCTGGAGGCGTTGTGCAAGCGGAGGTCAGAGGTGAGGCCAGGACCAAACCTGTGGGGGTCACCAGCCACAGCTTAGGTTTCATTCCAAACACAGTCATGAATGGGAGGGCTTTAAGCACAGACATAATTTGGTATACTAATAGGAAGCAGTGTGATCCTAGGAAAATATCCTAAAAAGATATTCTAAATCCTGAGAAGGACCAGCAGCATCCAAAGCCTTCAGACAGGACTAGAATCGTGAAAGTGTATTACTTAAGATAACATAGTTCATGGCTCTAGAATGAGTTCACCTGGATACAAATTTTACTAGCTGTGTGACCTCACAAAAGTTACTTAAACCTGTCAGTGCTTGTTTCCTCAACTGCAAACAAGTTAGTATAGTGTCAGACACAAAGAAAGCACTTAAAATTAGCATTTACACTGCAAAACTCCAAGTCTTTCTAATCTCTGAAGAAGCAAAGTGTGCCCCTGGGTGAGGGGACAGTAGAAAAGGGGGCTGAAGAGGTAAAAGTTTCAAAGGTAAAGGAAATTGAGATCCAAGCTTAAAATGATTCAATCCACTCAAAATATCAATACCTAAAATATTCTAGGCACTGTTCTAAGAGGCATATAGCGTGAAGAGAGTCAAAACTGGTGGATTTTAAAAAGGGGTACAATAAAGAGCCAATGAAGGATTTCCAACCAGAGGATAGAGTTGTGCAGATTTGGGTGTTACGAAAAGGGGCTTCAAGTAGGTGCAGTGGCTCACAATTAGTAATCCCAGCATTTTGGGAGACTTGCTTGAGCCCAAGGAGTTCCAAGACCAGCCTGGGTAACATAGCGAGACTCCATCTCTTTTTACAAATGTATATGAAAAAAATGGGGGCCTCTATTCTCAAAGGAAATATCTTAAGCCCCTATATTTAGGAAGAAATCTAACAGGTTATTTTAACATGAAGCCATCTGCAGACTATCAGAAATGGATTCCACTTGGGCCTTTAAACTTCTCTGAAGCTGTTGCTTCATCTTTAACATGAGATTATTAATACCTACTTCACAGGCTGCTGTTAAAATCAAATGAAACCCTGCAGTGTGAAAGGGCTTTGAAAAAAGTCGAAGGAGCTGGTTGCTGTGGTTCACGCCTATAATCCCAGCACTTTGGGAGGCAGAGGCGAGAGGAATGCCTGAGCCCAAGGGTTCGAGGACAGCCTGGGCAAATTGGCGAGACGTCTTCTCTATAGTAAATCAAAAAAATTTGCTGGGCGTGATGACGCCCGCCTGTGGTTCCAGCTACTTGGAAGGCTGAGACAGAAGGACAGTCTGAGCCCAGCATGTCGAGGCCGTGAGCGTGTCACTACACTCAAGTCTGGGTGAGAGTGGGACTCCGACTAAAAAAAAAAAAAAAATCGAACGCATATAAGGAATAATTATTGCTGAGAGTATTTTTAACAGCTGTGAGCTCAAAGGAAGAAGGGAGTGCCAATCCTAGAAACTTTTTTTTTTGAGTTGGAGTCCCACTCTGTCGCCCAGACTGGAGGGCAGTGGCACGGTCCCGGCCATCGCAGCCTCGACCTTCTGGGCTCCGGCGATCCTTCCTCCTCAGCCTTCCAAGTACCTGTAACTTCAAGGGCGCGCTACCACGCCCGGCTAATGTTTTATTTATTGTAGAGATGAGGTCTCGCCAGCTGGTCCGGGTGGGTCTCGAACCCGCGGGCTCAGGCAATCCACTCACCTCGGCCTCCCAAAGCGCTGGGATTACAGGCTAAGCCACCGAGCCCGGCCGATTGGTTGACACCTGGAAACTTTATTGGGGCACTAAAGCTGGAATCCCTGGTCCCAGAATTTACACGTAAGATAAAGATGGATTAAGAAGCGCTTTAACAAAAATCAAAGGAAATATTCAGGAGTCAAGAATGCCACCTTCCTGGCAGGAAATATTCGACGTAGGGGAAGCCCTGTTGCCGGCGGGATTCCCAAACTTCTTACAGAAAGACATTTAGTCTTCCAAAGGGCCGTATGCCAGACCTTTGTGCTCTGGGGGTCAACCTAAAGCAGAAAGCCGGGGGGGGGCTGCGTGGGCGCACCCCGACCCCCTTCACAGCCCCAGCCAGGGCGGCCGAGAGCCGCTCCTGCCCTCCGCACCGGCGACTGGGAGGCGCTTCCCAGCGGGTGCCGCTGCACGCACCTGCGGGACGTGGACCTCCAGCACGGAACCCTCGGCTCCCGGGCCTGGCTCCTCCGAGAACCGAAAGCGCTGGGCCCGGACCTCAAGCCCTCGGCAGCCACGCTCGCCCAGAGGAGCCTCAGCTGGCCCCCGGCGGGCAGGGGGCTGCGGAGGAGTCCGGGCTGCCAGACTGCGGGCGCCGGAACCCTCAGGCCACGTGGCTCTCCGCGGACCCCACCTGGCCGCCACCACCTGACCGCGAGAAGAGAAAGCCCCGCTCCGGCAATAACACCGCCGCGCGGCGAGCCGAACCACCCCGGAGCAAAGACAACGAGAAACAGGAGCAGCGGGCC